TCCTTTTGATCGGGAGGGGTGTGGTGTACCGCAAAATGGACGAAACGGACTTGTGTTGGAGCGCTGCGGTCGAAACGGGGGTCCTGTTCATCGAGAGGGGTGTGGCGTACTGCAAAACAGGACTCCACGGGCTACTGTTCATCTCCACCATCGACCTTCTCCAGCCTCCACGGGCTACTGTTCATCCACTGTCGACCTCCTCCAGCCTCCACCTGCGACTGTTCATCCACGGGCTCCTGTTCATCCAGCCTCCACCGTGCGCTACTCCACCGGCTCCTGTTCCACCATCCCTCCACCATCTACTGTTCATCCAGCCCTCCACGGGGTCGTCCTGTTCATCCAGCCCTCCATGGGGTCCTGTTCTTCCAGGCCCAACCGTCTCGATCAATCGGGGTCCTGTTCATCCATCCCCAACCGGCTCGATTGATCGGGTTCCTGTTCATCCAGAGGTAACGCCACGGGGTCCTGTTCATCCACCCCCACCGCTCACTGTTCATCCAACCCCCCCCTCCCCAACGCTCACTGTTCATCTAGAGGCAGCATCAATCGGCTTCAGTTAGCAGCAGTAGGGAAGGAATCGCTCGATTGTGTTCAGTTAATAGCCAACGATCGATCGCTCGGGTTCAGTAATGCGTAGCCTACAGTGCAATTGCTCGGTTTCAGTTAGAGCCCAATGCCTCGCTCGGGTTTAATTACAGTCGACGCCTCACACACACGCGTGCATACGTGTGCGAGAGAAATGCGCATCGCTCGGCCCCGACCACCCACCGTAACCGGGAACACCCCGATATTTTTCTCGCCCTCGCTTTTACCACGGTTTTTTCCGTCATGGACGGCCCAAAGAATGTCATGCAGCTGCGTCTCCGGCCCGCCTAGGACGAAAAGCCCATTTTCTGTCATGATTTTTTGTCATAGAAGTAGGAGTCCACCACATCTATGATGATACCGGGTTTTGTCACAATTATCGTCATAGAAGTGTCATAAGTATGATAGAAAAAAAATTCGTTCGGCCCAAAATGTCACGGATGTGTCTTTTTTTTGTAGTGACATGCCCTGCAAAAACAAGTTAGTCGTCCTCTACTTTGTTGTTGCAAGTTTTACGTGGCTACTATGGGCTTCTAGCAAGAACCGTTCTTACCTACGGCACAAAACCACAACGGTGATTTATCAAGTTTGTTGTTTTAACCTTCAGCAAGGATTGGCCGCAGTCAAATTCGATTCGACTAAAGTTGGAGAAACAGACACCTGCCAGCCACCTTTATGCAAAACTAGTTGCATGTCTGTCGGTGGAACCGGTCTCATGAACGTGGTCATGTAAGGTTGGTCCGGACCGCTTCATCCAACAATACCGCCGAATCAAAATAAGACCTTGGTGGTAAGTAGTATGACGATCATCGCCCACAACTCTTTGTGTTCTACTCGTGCATATCATCTACGCATAGACCTGGCTCGGATGCCACTGTCTGGAAATGTAGCATGCAATTTCAAAATATTTCCTACGCTCATGCAAGATCTATCGAGGAGATGCATAGCAACGAGAGGGGAGAGTGTGTCTACGTACCCTCGTAGATCGAAAGCGGAAGCGTTTCACAACGCGGTTGGTGTAGTCGAACTTTCTTCATGATCCAACCGATCTAGTGCCGAACGGATGACACCTCCGAGTTTAGCACACATGCGGCTCGATGATGTCTCCTCCTTCTTGATCCAGCAAGCGGGAGAGGAGAAGTAGATGGGATCACAACCAACACGACGGCGTGGTGGTGATGGAGCACCGACAGCGCTTCGCTAAGCGTCGCTGGGACGAGCCGGTGGAACTACGGAGTAACGGGAGAGAGAGAGAGGGGTGTCAAGGGCTTGGTATGTCCTCTTGGGGCGCCCCTCCCCTCTATATATAGGTGGAGGGGCATGGCAAACATCCCCTCCAAGCCCTAGGGCGCAGCTAAGGAGGAGAGGACTTGACTCGAAGTCCAATCCTATTCCTACTTTTTTTTGAAGTGACCCTATTCCTACTAGGACTCCTTCCTTTTTTGCCTTCCCTAGCCAGATGGGCTTTTGAGGGCTTGGTGCGCCTAGCCCAATAAGACCAGGGCACCTCCCCGCAGCCCATGCTAGACCTTGGGTCGTGGTGAACCCACTTGTGGACTTCCGGACCCCTCTGGAATCCTCCGAAACCTTTTGGAAGCTTCCCGGTACAATACCGAAAAAATTGCACCTTTTTCCAGAACCCAAAATATGACTTCCTATATATAAATCTTTATCTCTCGACCATTTTGAGACTCCTCGTGATGTCCGGGATCTCATCCGAGATACCTAACAACATTTGGTTACCACTCATCAAATATCCCAATAGTACTCTAGCGTCAACGAACGTTAAGCGTGCGACCCTGCAGGTTCGAGAACTATGTAGACATGACCAAGACACCTCTCCGGTCAATAACCAATAGCGGAACCTGGATGCTCATATTGGCTCCCACATATTCTATGAAGATCTTTATTGGTCAAACCGTTACGACAACATACGTTATTCCCTTTGTCATCGGTATGTTACTTGCCCGAGATTCGATCGTCGGTATCTTCATACCTAGTTCAATCTCGTTACCAGCAAGTCTCTTTACTCGTTCCGTAATGCATCATCCCGCAACTAACTTGTTAGTCACATTGCTTGCAAGGCTTCATATGATGTGCATTACCGAGATGGCCCAGAGATACCTCTCCGATACTCGGAGTGACAAATCCTAATCTCGATCTATGCCAACCCAACAAACACCTTCGGAGATACCTGTAGAGCATCTTTATAATAACCCAGTTACGTTGTGATGTTTGATAGCACACAAGGCATTCCTCCGGTGTCTGGGAGTTGCATAATCTCATAGTCGGAGGAATATGTATTTCACATGAAGAAAGCAGTAGCAATAAAACTGAATGATCATTATGCTAAGCTAACAAATGGTCTTGTCCATCACATCATTCTCCTAATGATGTGATCCCATTCATCAAATGACAACACATGTCAATGGCTAGGAAACTTAACCATCTTTGATCAACGAGCTAGTCAAGTAGAGGCATACTAGAGACATAGTGTTTTGTCTATGTATTCACACATGTATCAAGTTTCCGGTTAATACAATTCTAGCATGAACAATAGACATTTATCATGATATAAGGAAATATAAAATAACAACTTTATTATTGCCTCTAGGGCATATTTCCTTCAGGAATATCGAGTGTTTGTTTGGAGGCCATGGCGTGCAAGTGCTACGACCTTAGTGATTTTTTGTCCCAAGTGGGTCGTCTAGGGTGATGACGAGGTTCAATCCAGTTAGACACTGCCAAGGACCCGATTGTGTTTCTATCTTTTTGTTTGGGACCCTCCTTGTAAGAATCAATGAGTTGTCTTAATTTAATGTTTCTTCTGGGTTCTGCTGTAAGCTATATCGCCCCACCACTTTATTAGTGGAGGGGCTTTCTAGGCCCATATAATGGTACAAAAATGTACCAAGACAAAATCGAAGGTTAAGTGCAGGTGGCTCCATGGCCGGGAAGGGGCAATGCGCTGCAGCCAAGACAACGTGTGCGCAAGGCCATAGCATCGCAATACCGATCTTGGATGACGAGGCCAACGAGGAAGATGGGTCATTAGACTCGAACTGCAAATCTTTAGGGTCTCGACTTCATGGTTGTTGCGGAATGACAACACCTCCCGCTTTTGAAATGAACCTTGGGTTGATGGGAGGTCCGTTGCAGAGCTCTTTCCGTTGATCTAAGCCCATGTTTGCAAGTGGAGGCTCTGAGATCGTACTGTGTGCCAGGGACTGTCTGGTCGTGCTTGGGTGCAGGATATCCATGGTGCACTCAGGCCCACCACCTTGGTGTAATACATTGAGATGTGGTGACGTCTTTGCACATACCACTGAACGACAGGTCGGACGTGCTTACATGGAGTTGGACGGAACCCAGAATTACACTACCAACTCATGCTACCTTACCCTCTTTCAAGGCTCGATCTCGGACCCCCACTGACAGCTCTTTTTTGAAGACCTGGGTGCCACTCCACATCGAAGTGTTCAGCTGGCTCGCCCTCCAAAATCGTTGTTGGACGACTGACCGTCTTACTCGTCATGGGCCTCCCCATGCGGAGCGGTATGTTCTTTGCAACCCAGTCCCTAATGACATGGAGCTACTCCTCGCGGGTTGTTCCTTCTCGCGTCAGGTATGGCACGAAGTGCTTTCCTGGTGCCGATCCATGAGGACCCTGCCTTGCCCGGCGATGTGCTCTCTGAGTGCTGGGTGTCCTCCTGCTCGCATGCCCCCATCATGCACCGGCAAGGTCGATCCTCCGTCATCATGCTCACGACCTGGCCCATTTGGAGATATCGCAGCGGGCGCATCTTCGACGGGCAGCGACCCTTCGTCTCACGTCTCGTGCATGATATCTAGGATGAGGCACACCTTTGAGCCAACGCCGACACCAAAGGGATGATCAACCTCCTTCCGAAAACGTGGTTTTCTTGTAAGTTGGGGTTGAGCAACCCTGGTCTTCCTGCTCTGTTCATCGTATACACATCATCAAGCGTATGTGTCGCATGATGCATAACCCACTGTATTTTTCACTTTCCTTCTAACAAAGGAAAGACAAGCAAGCTTCCCGTATTTGCGAAAAAAATATCTAAGGTTGCTCGATTGTGCCAAATGCAGTTCAACTCTGGCCTGTCTTTTGCTTATCCTCCACTCGATCTAGACCGTCCATTTCCCCAATCTACGACGCGTCAAGCGTGCAGCCGGTCGTCGCCGGCATTTGCATCTGAAGGCAGCACGATAGTCACGTGCCAACCCGCGTCTCCCTCCCCTAGTCCATCCGCAGCAAGCAAAGCAGGCCGGCACGCACCCGCAAGTCCTCACCTCCCCAACCCCCACTCCCGCGAGGGCGCGAGATCTCTCCCCCTCCCCCCAGATCCGCCTCGCCGACACTGCCCGCCCGCCGCGCCGCCGCCGACGCCGCCATGTCGCACAACTACGGGGACACGATCCCGCTGCACCCGTCGTCGGCGCAGTCCGACATGGACGAGATCGAGAGCCTCATGTACGACGCGCCCTCCGCCACCGTCCTCCCCGCGCGGCCGCCCTCCCCGCCGCGCGCCTCCATCCCCATCTCCACCTCGCC